GTAAAACGAGACACACCTGAAAATGGACACCACCCCAGTACGGAAAACAACATCAGGTAAGATTTCTTGACAAGGAGGTTTTCACGTGCGGTCTTTTTCTCTTCTATGTTGCACCCACGTCACATTATGCGAGGTGGCACAGCCGTGCTACGTGATCACCTGTATCTCAAGAAACACCACGGCTTTCACGTTTTCAGATAATCATCTACTGGACATATATGTTGTGAAAGCGCCACTCCGACTGCCTGTATATGCACAACATCGGCACATCTTGAAGCTGCGACAACCTTGCTTTACATCTATGCATTTTGTTTTCCTGTGTGTTTGTGACAGTTTGCAATAAACCGTTCCTCAGTGCTTGCGCATTGTGGGTCAAGAGCGCAGAAAACGCTTCTGATAATCCCGCGAATATCTGGAATCGATACAGACATGCGCGTTGCATATACTGCCATATTTCAGCGATTACGCAGCGAAAGGGTTTTCACACTTTGCAGGCAATGACCCAAAAAATGCACTTCCGCGTGACCGCGTAAACTTTGTATCAATGACAATTATAAAACTCATTTCACGCATGCTTCTTGAAGCACCACTTTAGCCGAAGCCAGTGGCTTCGCTCTTAGCGACAATGAGTAACGCTATGAGACCTATATGCCCTTAAACAATACTCCTGGTGGAGGCGCGCCGTTTCTATAGTGAATATTTTGCCAGTGGCCATGTAGATAACGCTGTTTAAGTAGTTACATAGGCCCATCAGGAAGGCAAATGAAGCCAACAGCCGCTACTTCCATAACAGCGAAGTAGATGCAACTACCAAAGGACCTATATGGGTACGGTAAACAATGTGCATGGAGGCGTATGAAGTCCAAAGTAGGTCTACTTAGCGGCGGTACTGATACCACCGCTGTGCGGCCAACATGAGCTCAATAAACGTCAGTCGCGAACGTCTGTGGAGCCAACAATGTCAGCTGCAGATAGTATGGGGCAAATATATGGCAACTACGAATGCGTCTTGAAGGCATGTGGGCAATATTAGAGCTTAGCTCTTGGTAATATTGATGGCAATGTCTTGGGACGTGCAAGGACTAAGTAATTACAGTTCACGGAAGAGCGTAGAGCTACCGGCAATATCAATGTCTCTCTGTTGGATTTATATTGTCTTACGCTAGTAAAGCCGAAATGGATACCAGTTTATCGGTGAGCATGCCGCCGTTATTATGGGACCTATAATACTTCTACTTGTATTGGACATGCGGGTATGTAAGGCAACCGCGGAAGTCTCTTTGAGTGTCGACAATAATGCCATATCTGTGGCAGTTATATGAGCTTGCTACCCACTCAGCGCCAGTGTCCGATGAACGCCCGTTGGATGTCCGATGGGCGCCCGTTGGGTGACCGATCGAGCGCCCGATGGGCGCCCGAGTGGCACAAAATTGTGTCACTCATCGGGCGCTCGCGGAGAAAAATAACGTGGCGCCTCCCTTCGCACGCTCACATTTCCACGATTTCCAGCCGTAACGGGTAAAGTCTAGCCGCATTATCCTCCCTTCCCATACCACTGCAAGCACCTTAATGCGGTCGCACACATTGCATACCATGAACATAACACAGTTCGCGAAAACATAGTGTAATATGGATCTCATAATTTACAAAGCGATTTTCCAGTGCTAACCGTTCTGTTTCCTTTCGTATCCACGATTCACGCTCTTTAATTCGTTGTATCCAGCGTCGTAACTTATCAACAATATCAGGCTCTGTGCATCCTGGTATGTTTTTTCTCATAATGGAATCTGGTGAAGATATTAATGTTGTTTAAAAGGTAACATACCAAGGACCGCTCTCGCGAATGGTGTGTTCGCTATTTTATACTTCTCATGCACACCACGCCAGTTCACATGTCTGACCAAGTTGTTAGTCATGCAAGTAAGCATGACGTTCCGCACACTTTCTGAGGTTGTCCGGCCGCTTACGTTGGATAAATAGTGCACCTACGAATAAGTGAAATTCCATGAGACTTACCATGCTGTTCATGAACTCAGCGTTCTCCAGTGCATTATTTAAAAATGACAGTTGCGCTATTGTATCCATTGGTAATGGAAATGGACACGCGTTGCTGGAACTTGGCGCCTGAAGTGCATGCAGCGCGTTCAAGGACAACTCAACAGCAGTCATTCGTTCGCGCAGTTTCATCACTTCGCGATTTACGTTCCGCAATGTGGCTGCAAGTAAATGTTTCGGAGACGCTGTGAACCAACCATTCATTTTCAACAGCAGTGCGCTGTCACAGGATGTTCCGCAAACATGTAAAGGCTGAGCAACGTCTTGGTGAATCGGACTACGAGTGTAAAAACAAATGCATTGTTTACCTGGATGTATGGGGATAGGCTGATAGGTATCCATTTTCTTTATCAGAACCGTCGTTTAATTCCTCCTCCAAATACAGCTTCGGTGGTGGAGGTGATAAATCCAAGTTCACGACTTCAACAGTACCCCGCGTTGCGATTGGCGGGGACTCACAGTCGGGAAAGGTTTTTACAGTGCTGCGATAATATACTATCTATCTACAACATACATTTTTCGCTTCCCCCATCGTAGCATTGGAATCGTTGCGTCGCTAGATGGTAATTCGGCTGATGTTAGCAAGCTCTGTTCCAAATTTTAGCCTCAAGGTAATCATCTAAAAATGCGTATAAATAAATCGTTCTGTGACCTCACCTGTACAACTGTGTATTCGTACTTTGTACGTCACAGCGGACGCAGGTGGTGGCAGACGGTGCATCAGGAAATCCTGTAACTGTTTTGATGATAACCGTCCCCACAGAACTTCCTCACTATTAATCATCCAGGATGACAGAACCACCGCAACGGAAGAATCTTGAAATTCGACCACGCGATACATCTGAAAAAAGGGGTCAGAGCACAGCATTTCTACGAGCTTATTAGAAGAGGTAAATGTGTTCGGTGGGGAAGCTTTTATTTGCGATACCAGGTGCAGCAGCATATGCAATGTATTCCATGGTGCTTAAAACGTAACAGTAACCGCACAACGCCGTTACTGTTGTACAACGATTTTGCGCACCCAGGTTAAAAGTATAAAACGGACTGTTAACTGAAGCAAATAAATAAATGAAGACAGCTTACCTACGTCGGATGTTTCTTCATATCCTTGTGCCGCCAGCTGTGAACGATGGGGTAAAATACAATGTACTCATCGCACGGCAATCTCAGACATTTGCAGCCGATTGCACTCAATGGAATCCATGTTGGTGGAGCTAAGGAACCCCAACATTTAAAAATACGTAGGTCCGTGGACGGCAAACTTTTTACGAACAGCGACATAATCTGTGTGAAATGCTGCACACATAACTCATTAGCACGCTGGCCCAGCACTACCGAAGGTCTTCCACGTGCGATGACAGCATTATTTGGATGCGCATTCGTAATCAGCGCACCGAAATGTAAGAAACTGGTTTGTTGCCGACCACGACGCATAATTACGGTGGATCCAGTGTCGTCCAAACAACCGCCATCATCTGTGACATTGGTTAACCTTCGCTCCGTTACACGACAAAAAATTTGCGACGTCGCAGACGTCGGGCCATTTATGAGCTTTCGAAGCCGTCGTAGAAACGATTCGAAGGGAAATGCGGGAAAATTATCCATGGGTCCGAGGCGCCCGACATCCTGGCACATATGCACTAAACAGTGCACGTTGAAGACCACCTCCTTCTCACCGTACAGCTTCGCGATGTCACGCACCACCTTATTCAATACTGATTTCGCATGCGAAAGGTAATGTGAACACCACCTACGGCAGCACAGAATGTATGCGGCGACGGATAACATAACGAAATTATTGTACAGGTCTTCGGGCAACACGCCGCGCAAAACTACGGGGCCCAGGTATAAAAGAAACTGTCTGAATTCCGTGGCCTTCCAACGTTCCACGTCCTCAAACGTGCGACATTTGCGCGGAAACTCGCACGTCAGGTTAGCCGAACAAATGCGAAGTCGTTCATTGATAATGTCGATGGATTTTGATGGCAATCGTATGTTTCCACGTGTTGGGCCGCAACGCCAAAGCATTATTAACTTCGTGTTACTCCCAGACACAAGGTGTGCATGTAATCAAGTGGGAAACAACTTATCATATCAATCCGTAGAGCCTCAAAAGGTGATTCGCCGATGTGATGTTCCGGTTGTTTTCGTGTTCTAAAATCCATGTCATTACGTAATGAGCTTTGGGGTTCGGTAGGGAAGGTCATTCTACCATCAACGTGCGAACCTGCAAATGTTTATCAAACTTTACGCTTCGCTTACCAGTTATTGTGCATTTCTCGCAGGCGAAATATCCGGAATGTTGTTTCACCTGCCGAACATATGCTCGTGCAAGTGCATCGGCTATCACGCAGTCCAGCACGATATCAGTAGCATCATCATTATCACCCAAGCAGACACCTTTGCGTAACACATCCTTCAATGCACCCACCACTGGCCGCAGGAATTCATGCACATTAATAGGTTTTGATAATCCACTGTAAAGACCAATTAAAAACACATCGCTTGGCGGATTTATCAGCCTTCCAAGTACTGGCCACAGTTGTCTGCGCGAGCTTTTGAACACGGTCATTCCGTCTATATGGATCTGCAACTTTAGCAATGACGGACGGGGTGAATGCGTTCTGCGCAACACGTCACGTATGGCGTCCTGCAAACCCATATGGATGTAACTGCCACCTCTGATTAATCTCACTGGACACCGACGGGGTGTTTTCAAAATGCTACGAGCGTCAACCGGTAAGTTAGGATATAGGCGCCGAAGATTGCGCAAAAGGATGTTAATCTGGGTCAAAGTGAAGTTTCCGTCCAGAGCCACGTCACGCAGAATTTCCTCTAAGGTAACCGATTCTGCTGGACGCAAGAAATTGGTTGGACGGGCTAAAAGAGTACGTTTTATGAAACATTTGCTTACGTATATTTAATAAAGAGGAAGCACAAGGCACATCCGATTCATATTTGTGATGAATGACTCCACCATTAGGGGATATTGCGTGCGTTAAAGGTTCCTGCACGGCATGGCGCGAAGAATGCACATCTTGTGCGGTAGGTCCAGTACTTATCATCTCCCGTGCAGCTGAAAATACATTCCGCGAAAAAGCCCATACCTTGTAATGACATAACTGCTTGCACTTCTCTCTGTATATCATCTTCAACTCGTCGTATTCTACGATAAAAAGTTGTGTTAGAGCAACTTGAAAAGGCGTTCACAGGCTTCTTATCCATAGCCGAAAACGGATAAGCGAACTCGGCGAGACACAGAAGCGAAATGGTAATTACGCGCCAGTAGCACAGTAATAAAATGGTGCATTTAAACATAGAATGGCAGGAGCATTATCGATCGTTATGAAGCAAAATAATAAAAACAATGTGCTGACTGTAAATATTAATATACTACGCCAACACGCATTTCCATAAATAAACATATATCATGATCGCCCGATGAGTGTCCCCATCCGTGCGCTCGAGTGACCGATGGTGCTGACAGGGTAAGCACCCATCACTTTAGCATGAATTGCAAACTAAACAGCACAATGTCTCCCGCGGTTCCTACCCGCCTGTCACTCGCTGCTTGCACTAGGCCGCATCCCTTAAGCTTATTTATGACAGCACCAATAAATCACATTGTCTGCCGCCTCTCTTGCCCACCTTCGTGCTCGCATCTTGCACGCTGGTATTTGTCTAAAGCACTGCAGTGCCACCCATGTTTACCGATGAGTGGTGCTGCTACAATCGCTTACTATTCGGAGTAATGATATTTGCCCATGCTTCCGTACTTTACAACCCACTTCGAACGTAGCATAACCGGTACTCAGGTATCATGACTGAGCACCACGACGTCCGCATTCCCTGGTTAGTCCGCACTGTTAACCGTCTGCGCTTTCCAATTACTTCGTGAACGACACCGTGGCATTCTTCAGGGTCACTTTTTGTCTAATGGACTTGTGGTGCAGCCTTAAAAGCCAGCAGTGCCTATTCATATACTTGCATGCGCCGCACCATTAGGCCGCTAGTTCTGTGGTTGGGTCCGTAATCGTAGACCACTTTCTCTACCGTGCTATTACACTTCCGGTTGTTAAGCATGGCCCTTCTATGCCGTGACCGAAAACCACGAAACAGTTATCAGCATAGCCGCGTTGCGGTTTATGAGCGCTTCGAACACTCCCAAACCAGACGACTAATCGCATATGCTTCGAAGGTCTGTTCCACCCCCATAAACAGTCCCAGTAATATATACTTCTTTTTTGCTGTGGACGTTGTTCGTCATGCGCAACACTTCCCTTTCCATTCCATTCAGCATCACCACCGCGAAATTAATAAGTGGGCGCCTGGTACCTTAGGTAAGTTACCCGTTGTGTTGCAAGCGCTTCATTTTCGCCAAATAACAATTCGCCACAAGGCGAGCATGTGTGCAGTACTACCACAAGCAACGCCATATGGACTACAAGCTTTGTAAACAATGGGCGTACGTTATCCTGAAAGTTCTTACGCAGCAAAGTATTCAGTGCTCTTTTATTGACACCGTGAGCAGATTTCCGCTTACCTAATTTAAATTTTAACTTGCCTACTCATTAACGTTTGGAAACGGTTCAGTGTATGTTGCCCATCCGAAGTCTGTATGCATGGCTACGTTGCATTTGGCAAGTACATGTGGCAACAATTATGCGTATGGCTTGTTATTTTGCCTCTTAATGATTACCCGTGCTGACGTTCAGCAGAAGCAAGATGCCGCCCTTCCTAGGGAATAGCCGTAGTTACGGAACGACGGATGCCTTATCACATTTTCCAATATGAGTCACACGTGTGCATCCATTTACATTCCATTAATAAAAAATATGTCTAATTATATGTGCATGTGTTAGCATGGTGTTTATATATATAATGACATATATATATGTATATAACATAGTGTTCTAATGTTGCTCATTTCTATTACCATTTAAAAGTATGGTATATATACCTCTATATAGAAGGATATTTACTTCGAATGATATACATATATACATACTAACTGGGTGCCC